CTTGTCATTGTTGGGAGAGGGGTGGGGTCGTATTTACGTTTTGGCGTTGTAGGAGTGGTGATTTGGTGATTTTCCTGTTTCATGCGTACTATATGCCCCCCTCCCCCCGCTCGACAGCAAAATTTTTGGTAAAAAGTAGGGAAGTTTTCGGGAAATTTTGGAAAAAGTGGCAGGAAGTTTGGGGAAAATCTGAAAATTGGTAGAGGGGGGTCGTATTGTCTCGCGGCTTTTCCTGTTTCACATGTGCTATTCCCCCCGCTCGACGGCTCGATTCGATGAGGAGGGACAGAGGGGCGGAGGGGGGGGGGGGGGTCGTACAGACTCGACCAAGAATCCCCAACAATGATGTCCCTGAAGGAGGAAATACTTTTCAGGGTATTGAAAAGTTAGTTTCCCGAGCAACCAAGTGTATTGAGGTTATGGGGACTACAATGAAAAATAGTTTTTATTCAGAATTTTTTGCCTTTTTTTCATACCTGTATTGAGACAACCCTTCGTAACACCTCGTAATGATCAATGTTCAGGTTCATCACATTCTGGAAGGTTCAAACGAAATGATGCGTTTGATCATCAGCCGCGACCTTCTTGGGAATCAAACGTATGGTCCGCTGTAAATGATGATTCTCAGAAGAGGGTTCGAGCACACGTTCCCGTTCGGATATGTGATTCTTAGGTAGTGCCTTTACTAACTCACTACAAAGTGATAGGGTCATATTTTTGAAAGCTCACAGTTTTGCAACACAATAATTTAGTCGAGAGAAGCATAGTTCTTCAGTAATTTTGAGTATTTAGTGTGCTTACTGCCATAGCAAGAAACATTATTGACATACTTTTTATTTTGTTACGTTGTTCAGTGCCAAAATGTTTACTTGTTTTACTATAGTCATCAATTTGTTTTATCAGGGATTTTTGGTCAGTATAAAAATTTGGGATATTTTTTAGAGAGTGACACTTCCCCTTGGTGCACGGGGGAAGATGGGAGGTTCATGCTGTGACGATGCACCAAATTAAAGATTTTATTAGTTAGTTGGCTCGAACCTTTGTTACTTTTCCACTTGTATCTACTCGTTTAGGGCCTAGTGCGCTTGTCCCGCTCAGTGGCTCTCCCGAATACATCTTAAAAGAGAGAGACTGCTTTTGGGTGAACCTTCTGGAAGCCATACATATCCCTGAGACGCGAGAGGTGTGGCTGCGTACTTCTGCGCGATACGCATTTAAACGTGGCGATAGGATAGATTATTCGCACGATATTTCAATTCGAGAAAACAGTCGTGTTGGACGGGTACTTCACTAGAGTGGTCTCAGACAAAAGCGTCACCGCCGACACGCTCAAATGGTGTACGCAACCACGCCTCACGCATCTTAGGGAGTTCGGAGTATAAACAGGTGCAACCCTGCAAACGAGAGCGCATGTGTTAGCAAGCGGGACGTGGACTGAAGCGCAGTGGGGCAGCTTTTCCCACCAATTTTCGCGAACTCCGGCTTGCGTCTATTCTCCCATGGAACTTTTCTAGGTGTTCCAAGGCTTGGCTTTGAAAGCAGAGCGCGACGGAGACAAAGAATGGCGGTTTAGTTTCATACAACTATAGTGGTTTCCATGTCAGTCAATTGTCTGAGTCTTGGCATGACATTCATGGTGCGGTTTTAGTTGAATATCTTCACTATCGAGCCGTTCGAGCCGTTCTGGAGTTTTGTCGGGAACTTTACAAGATAGGAGGCTCTTGGCCGTTCACTTTTTGAAACAGTTTTTGACGCTGGCGCGATTTGGCGCTGGTGAAAAAGAGGGGTGGCCCTTTAGCGCCACCCCTCTTTTTCACCTAGATCGATGCGCTTGCATATAGGGACTACTTGAATCATGATCACGAATATGATGTTTTTTGGCACGAAATCGTTGACCGTCACAGGCGCCGGCACCATATGCTTGTTTGGGGTCCGACGGGTTGTGGTAGGAAAACACGGCAGACGACCTATTACCCATATCGTTGTCCCCTTCCTACCAAAGCTCATAGTTAGCACTGAGAGGGATCACTATCTCGGGTCCCTGCATCCTTGACTCATTAGCATCCCATGCAGATGTGATATTTATGTACGGGATTTCAAGCTTTCCGTGGAGACAAGTTTTCAGCGAATTTCGTGATTTTGTGTATTTTGGCACCAGTGGCTATGGACCGAGCGCCAGACGGTCCGGACCAAACGGATGTAAAATTCATCTCCACAAAGTCCTACCCCGGGAGACAAGTTTTCAGCGATTTCTGTCCTTGCAGAAAAAAGAAACGGTAAGAAACTGGTCTGGTTGCGCAATACTGGGGTGGTAATGGTTAAAAGGTGATGAAAAAATCTTGACCTTCCACACAAAACTTCATATGAGATGAAATGCCATGAGGCTCAGTAGAAAATGTCCAGTCGCAAGTAATCGCCACATGTTACATGGGCACATGAAATGAAATTAGTATTTTTCGTGACATACATCATTTCAACATGCACCCCCCCATACCTCCCCTCCCTCAAGCAAGTACGGCACAAAAAAAAGCCCTAAAGACCGGAGTGTGAGGATAATGTTCCCAGAAGGCAATTTGTATAATACTCGCAAGTGTTCTGAAGCTGTTTTGGTTTAAAGACAGCGCCCGCGATGGACTTTGGCAGGTTTCAGGGGTCAGATTTGTTAGAACAGGTGGCAAATGAAGCATTAATCAAAAAAGTAGGAAAAACTGTGCAAGAACATGAATAAGACCCTATTCGTTTTAAGGCATCTGGACGAGACGAAGACTGTATCATACCTTTCGTATTACTTGTTTTCTACTGCTTTTTGTCGCATGCCCGTTTCAACAAGAAGGCAGAGAACAGCTCAAAGAGGGTGACACACTCATACTGGCTGACACGCCCAACCGTCCGCAGCGAAGTAGAGTGTATATCTCTCTATCAGTGCACGAAACAAACGCTAGAAATTTAGCGATTATCAATGCCAGCAAGGATTGACAACTGTTAACCAGTCGGGGCGGGATTAACAGGACAGGAGGCGTCAGCTCAGCCTTGACTCCGCCCTCGTCAATCAATCGATTTCGAGCCGCAAGAGTGGGATATCCGCTGTGGTTGCGGACTCCGCGTTCGTTTTCAGTGCAGGGTTTTTTCACCTTGGTTGATCGCGGACGCTGCCTTTAATGAATAACGCAACCGCCCGGTAAGCGGGAGATGCGTTTTCGAGTCCCGTCCCGGGTCCGACTTTTGCCAATATCTCAGGATTCTTGCGATAACTCACGACTGTAGTAGCTGTATACTTTTAGCGACCGGCTGAAAAGACTACAATATCAAACCACTCCCCTTTGGGGTATTTGATCTGATTGTACTCGAAAATGGCGATAGTCAACAATGTTGACGTGCCAGCTTCTTTAGCCCTTGTTCAGGGTTCGGATAGTCATCCTCAACGAACCTTTTACTTGATTTCACAACTAGGGAAATCCCGAAAGAACCCTCAATGATTTCAGGGTGGTGGTTCCCTCAGGATTACATGAATAACAATTTTCACCTATGTCGAAAATTGTATGCACCAGCTGGACCGAACGAATCTGGCCAAATGTGTGATGCTTGCTTTCCAACTACTTGTTTCTTTTCTCATCTCCTCTTTTCGCCTGAGTGGAAGAGGCTAAGCATAAAAATTACTTTATTATCGAGAACAGAGAATAGTTTAGTGATGAAACGAAGTACAGCGAGCTCAACGTCGTCGTCCAAAGCCTCCACCTAAAAAAAACAAACGGATGAGACATCTGTTAGAAATGCTTCCAAAATATGAACATACCTGCGAATCCGTTCTGTGATTGACTTTGAAACGACGATGACTGTGATATAGAGGATGATGATCCAAAGCCACTTCCACCACCACCAGGGAAGCCACCGATACCGCCTCCGGGAAATCCACCTACACCTCCACCGGGGAATCCACCTATTCCTCCTCCTCCTGGGTATCCATATCCTCCTCCACCTCCAGGGAATCCACCACCGCTTCCTGAAAATGCCATTTAAGAAAATATACCATATAATATGACGAAAGAAAGCTATATATATTGAAATGAGATCTGCGAGAAGGCGAAAAATGCGAATAACACTTCTACTGAATAGCACTGCTCAATAAATCAACTTCGCAAAATATTTTGAAGCCCTCTTACAATCTTTCACTGCCAGGATATTACAAAATGATTAACTGAGCCCGTATAGCCAAAATAAACTCAAGGACTTCACTCACCAATTCCAAGTGGTCGCCCATAGCCGGGTACCGGATTGGAAACAACGCCGGTGAAAATTAGGAATAACACGACGACAGTTCTCATAGTGGACGAATTTTGCTTTTTCCCCGCCTCTGTTCCGGCCTTTTTATGGGTGTAAACGTTAACCAGTCTTCAGTAAGTAACTCAAAACATCAGTGTAACATTGGCAATTCGCCACACAATAACGAAATAAGAAAAACCTATAGGAGACGCAGTGCATACATAACCTAGTGTGTCCTTTTGATCAACTGTGGGTCGTCATATGGATAGTAGTAAGTTGCGGGATTCTAGGAACCATGAGTGATTACGGGCCATGATGATGCCCAGAGACGGCCTAGGTGAAGATGGTTGCGCGGATTTCCGGTTTAGTTCGTGTCTCTGGTAGCAGTAGTGGAATCCCTCTAGAAGTGTGTTCCGTCGCAAACAAGATCAACGATTGAATAAAGGGCTTCAGTATGGACATGAAAGAGGAATGCTGGTCAAAACCTTGATGTACGCGCCACAATCAGATGCCAGAACTCTAGAAGTAATAGTGGCCCCAGACCGGAGCGGACCTGCAGCAAGCCATAAGATCAGTTTTGGAGACTGATTATCTACAGTCCTCATCATTACGGACTGTCGGGGCGGCACAGCCGCGCTGCACTGTGACGCGACAGCGGCTGCGGCTCGGTGACGGTGAATCAGCTGATTTCGATGGAATTCGGCTGCAAATTTCCCACTTTTTCAGCTCTTCAAGCTTCTAAAGTGGAAGGTGAGTTATTCTGAACAATTTTGAATTGTACTGGCTCTGATTTCCTTTATTTTTATGTCGATTATATGCTCTTTTCCTTGTATTTTGCCTTATTTCAGGCATTTATTCAAATGGCTTACATTCTTTCAGATTCATCAGAGTACAATTTAAAATTGTTCAAAATAACTCACCTTCCACTTTCGAAGCAATAAGGGCACCAAGGTATTCCCTGGCCAGCAGTTGAGTCCTTAATAGTGCCACTCTTGCAGACATTGCCAGAGAGCTGATCCGAGAGATCGAGCATGGAACTGATAGGAGTATTCGGTGGTGGAACTCGCTTCGAAAGAAGAAAGACGAGGCGAGGGTGAGGAATACTGGAGGCTGGGTTCACAGACCCGTACGAGCCAGTCCATGAATCGTGGATCAGCGCAGTTGAGTTGATCTTAGGAAGTGCAGAACAAAAACTATGCAAGACGCGAAAAAGGAACCAAGGGAGACAGGGTGGCAAGATTCTGGACCAGGAGGCCGAGCAGTTCGTTAAACGGTTTCACAGGTCGTTAGGCTGCATTCATACTTTGTGGCAGCGTCCATCAGCGGCAATCAGCGCTTCGAGCGTCTGTCAGGTGATTGAAAGTCGTCGAACGAGGCGTAGACTCTGCTGCCCATCCCTTCATGGACTGCGAGAAACGTTGTTCTTCCGCTTTGATCACCTCTGGAGAGCTCAGAGAACGCGACCTTCCGGAACAGCTGGTCTTCACAGCGATGGACCAGAGCAGCTGCATGCACCCTACACGACAAAGGGGTATAGAGCTTTGGGCTACTGGGCTACAAGGGCGGCTCTGAGCCAGTTCTTCTTCATCCTCAGCGTGGATCTCATGGCAAGGGGACCTACAAAAACCATTCCCCTTGCTGAAGGCGTTGCTCTTGATGGCGGAAAGCAGGAAAGAACTGCAGAGGGGGGGGGGTACAAAAATGGCAGGAAGGGCTCCCAGAAAATGGATTCCCACTTAATTGTGGAAAAGATCCGAGTTCCGAAGCGTGCAGCAGAGCCATCGTAGTTCGCAACGGCGGAATCGTAGAAAGGGTTGAGGACTTAGTGGACCGGGACTTGGGGAGCGATCTAACAATTACTGGGAACGTGGACCGGTAAAGGCTCCAATAGGTGGTGTTGATGAACCGTAGAGAGTTTGTTTATATCCTCTGCAATCGGCGGTGCTCCAGAACCCATGAGGGCAAGCGACACCAGGCAGTGAGTGGTGAGGCCTGCATTACTTTAAGGCTGCGATTGCTGGCCGATATGCGAGTGGGGTAATAGATAGCTCCACTCTGATGAGGGAGATTGACCAACGACTGGATTAAATCAGAAACGTGGACGTCCTGGTGTTCGCAGAGATGGTTCCAATCCAGCTCTCATGCACAAGAGCCGCGACCTATAGTACGGGCACTTAGGGAGCCATGAGGATCACTCAGTTAGGAGAGATGATCTTCGTAACGAGTACATTGTCGATCTTTGGTAATCTCCCTCCACTGCTGTAGGTTACGAGAGCCCACTGCTCACGAACAAAAATCACCAAAGACGTTCCACCTTAAAAATAGCCAGGGTGTTTTGTAACTCGTTCACTTAAGTTTATAACGAAGTTGATTGAAAAAGTGGCAAGCTAAATGATTTCTTAAATCGAGTAAGCCCTATAGTCAGTCCAAAAACGCCTGAAGATGCAGCGGTTTCATAGCGGCGATCCTTCCCGAACGTTAACTGCCCCAGCAAATGCCCCAGTACTCGCCGAAGTGCAAAAGCGAAAACATGTTATTTGTGCCAGGGTCGTAGGATGAGTATGAGTCGCTTATTTCACGAAGTATTTGCTGAGTTCCATCGATCGCTTTTACAACGTACGACAAAAGGGCTTGTTGCTTTCAAACAGCATTGACAGGCTTTTCTTCGCAGATGCTCGTCTGACCGCCGATTTTGATTGAAAATCATCTCTCCGCCGATGGCTGTAATATCATATTCTTTGGTCCATTTGTGACTCATACTTGCCCGGCATGTCCCACTTTTCATTTTTTCGACAGCGGCAAATATTTTTTTTACTTTCGCTCATTGGCTTGTTTCTTTCAATTCCTGTTATTTCCCTCTATAGAGCCCTCAGAGGTCTAAACGATCGTGACTATGTTAGACACGAAAATTATGACGCCCTGGAAGAGAGCAGAGAAAACTGGATAGGCTCTAGGTAACTGACACCGTTTTTGGTTTTCTTTAGCATTTGGACAAACATGAATAGTTCTACATCCGTTGAACTATAACTATATCATCTCAGCAGAATATGAAACTCTTAAAAAGAAGAGCACAAAGAGAAGCATGGCGCACCACTTCCGAGGAAACAACAAGAGCAGTCGCCATTTGTCACTAATTACCCTTTAGTTCCCCAACTTCCAGAACCAGGCCACTTTAATGACTCTTTTCTACGAGAGCCGAGTTGGCAAAAATGCGCCTCCAAGCAGTTTGATCTCCTGAACAGGAATATCATATCCGCTTGGTCCGAAACCGCCTGACACTTGCGCTACACGCCAGGGCACCACATGCCTGTTTCGACACCAGCACGTAATGACACAATGGCAATATTGTGACGACATGGACAACTTGCGCGGCTTAATCTTCAGAGGCATAAGTTTGCAGCACGGTTCCTGCCCATTCGCGAGCCGCGAAAGGACCATTTTCTTGAGGGTAGCGGCTCCTTGGCTACCTACTTGACGAGGGATTGGGCCTTATGGTAGTCGCAGTATTCCTCTAAATTTGATAGAGATTTGATAACGCTTGCTACTGAGTCCAAGCAAGCGTATCTGCCTCTCACCTCAAGCCTGAACAAAGCCGACCACCGCAGATCAGTCATGGTACAGCCTCGTTTGCTAGCACGCCGCCAGATAAGTTCGGGGGGGGGGGTAAAAGGAGAGAAGAACGAAAAAAGTAAAATACGACTGTCTACGAACGAAATGATGCAGTTTTGTCGCTTGCAAGAAGAAGAAAAAAGGGATGGCGCCGCGTCAAACACGGCTGCGCTGACACCATCGACCGCGTTGAACGAGACTATATAAGACTGTGTTCATACATTGCGGTAGCATCCACCTGCGTCCACCAGCGACAGAGGTAGGGAGTACGGGGAAGTAGAAGTGTAGTAGACTGCTGGTAGAGTATGGGAAAGCAGGAAGGAGCAGACAGCTGGATCATGGGTCGGAAATGGTGGCGTGTGCATCCGCACCGTACCTGTCTACACAGTACCGTACTCCTGGACGCTGGTAGTCGCTGGCCTGCGTTCACTAGATCGATACTATACTTCCCTAGTCCCTCGAGTCTCTGGCTGACGCTGGTGGACGCTGGTAGACGCTGGCGTTCGCTAGACCGATATCTATACTTTCTAGTCGCTGACGGACGCTCGAAACGCTGATGATCGCTGGTGGTCGCTGACGGGGACGCTGGGACGCTGCTGCCAAGTATGAACACAGCGTGGTCAAGTTTGTTCCACAGAAACGTAACGCAGTCAGTTCCATCGCTGTAGGTTCAGAATTTTCGGAAATAATTGACTCATTGTATTATGTAACCAACAACTAATCAATCCGTTTTTACAATTTTGATTGCGAATTAATGGGAACAGCATTCCTTCACTTGTCACGTTCGCTGATTCGCACTCAGAAAGTACTTGTGTAATGCATTTAACCAACAGGCGGACAATGGGCCCTTAGCACCTGTCTCCGAGGGGAGTGATTGAGTGCACACGTAACATCCTCGGGCTCGCCAGTCGTCTACGTGCAACCGGACGCCTTTTCCCAACGTCACAGGTGTTCTTTAGTGTTTGCGCTGTCCAGATATGTTTGCCCAACAACTCTCCCATTGACGCCGAGATCAAGCCGATTCCATGCTGAATCGCACGTGGGAAAGCGCGACCATCGCTTGGGAAACGCCTCGTTGTGTTCCTGGCCTTCAACGGACTTCCCCGCCTCCTCTCTACACTATTGATTCACCCCATATAAATTTCATATGCGACAACATTCCATTCCCGAACGCATTGCGATCGTCGCCGCAAAAAAATGTCCCCGCCCGATTTCTGATCGATTCACCCCTCCCTTCTCATTCTGATTTGTCATTCTATTCGTCACTGGTACCATTCATCGCATTCAGCTCTCCACAGTCTTCCTTGCCTCTCCGATTATCATCAATCGCCATTTTTAAACACTCCCTATGATAGCTATCCGAATATAACCAGCTATTTTTTATTTTTTTTCATAGCTGTTTTCTTACATTGTTCATTAGTGGATATATCTTTCTCTTTTAGTTTCTGCAATC